CTTTTAGAACTAAGGACTTCTAGGTAAATTACTATAATAAATAACTATAGTAGTCTGGTGTCTCTTTCTAATTATTTGACTTCTATAGTTACATCACAAACTAGGTAGTCTAACACTATAATGATGCGTGGTCTTATTATTCCTTTGCTAGCCTTTGCCGCGATGGCGAGCTATTAAGATGACAGGCTGCTGATACCGACTTCATATGGAACTGGTAAGTAATTCAGCTTCTCTCCCAGCCCGAAAAATAACACGTTCTTAGTCCTCGGTACGGTCAATTCATAGTTTCCTAACGTGAACCAAGACCTCGGCATCCCCTACGCCCAACCGCCCCTCGGAGCCCTACGCTTCCTCCCGCCACAACCGTTTCCCCTCTCCAGCTCAATCATAAACGCAACAACCATGCCGCCCGCGTGCCCGCAGATAAAAGACACCACCTACCCCTTCTTCCAATACGTCCCCGAAACCCTCCCCCTCGGCTCCTTCTCAGAAGAATGCCTCACCCTCAACATATGCACCCCTTCCAACGCAACCGCCTCCTCCAACCTGCCCGTGATAATCTGGATCTACGGCGGCGCCTTCGTACAGGGCTCCCTCGACACGCCCGCGTAGATACAAACCTCGCAGGCGCACATCGTGGTCGCGGTCCAGTACCGCCGCAACATCTTCGGCTTCCCCGGTGCCGCGCGCGCCCTGGAGCACCAGAATCTCGGCATTCTCGACCAGCGGCGGGCCGTCGAGTGGGCGCGGGCAGCGTTGACGTGCACAACTTCGCGTTCGTGGAGGACCTCGTCGGGGAGGGATTTGTTTGCGACTCGGGGTCTAGCGTTCTTGGCTGTCGACACGCGGTCGACGAATAGCGCGAGTGGGAACTTTTCGGCCGTGGCGCGTGGGCTGGGGCGTGCGACGGAGGTGCCTGGGGACGAGCTGGACTGCATGCGCCGCAAGCCTTTTGATGAGATTGTAGGGCGCTGCTGAGGGAGAGACTGGGGTTGAAGACGTGGAGATATCAATGTCGCAACAGTTGCAGCAATGTGTCCCTAGACCTAAACTTGAGAGCATATTGTTGTGCAGAGCTGTTGTTAGTATTGAGAACAATTAGGGAGTTTAGGGGGAAGAATATAAGAGCTGTGGGTTCAGTTCGCGGGGGATAGCGAAGCGAGCTTGGAGGGTGTATGGGAGGAAACTGCGAACGGGAAAGTGTTGAAGATTAGAGTGGGGGATCTTGCTGAAGAGATTTTTGAAGAGATTGGGATGAATAGTGTTGATGAGGGATGTGAGGAGGTTGATGCTTCGTTCCGGGGCTAAGATGCGCGTGCTCCCTCTCTCGAAACGATCTGAACGTTGGGGCTGGTATGCTGGTATGGTGTGTATTATATTGGAAAATGAATCCAGCAGCAGCTGAGTCCTTACTTGGGCAAGCTTATGTGAGAGCCAAAGGAAACCCAAGTTGACCCGGCCCTCCGTAGCTGCTCCTCAGAGGACACATATGGTTCAAAGAACGACAACGACGCTTGAAGCGGGTTTTCTTCGCTTGCTTCAGCAGAATCCATCGTGCGGATGTCGATATCCAATGGGTATGAGGTGTGAAACCTGGCGACTGCATCCCACTCGTTGAAAAGGTCTCGAGGCATTCCACTGCCATTACCCCTGTCCCATAGGACATGGGCTCGTCCTCCTTCAATCCAGTAGCGGAAGAAGTGGTCATATTGATGATTGGTTTTCGGAGACCAGACATCGAGCTTTTGCAGTCTCGGTATCTCACGAGCAGTCATAGCTATCCATACCATAGGGTCTTCACCTAACTGATGAGGAGCCCATCTTTGAAATCCAGAAAACGTTATAGATAGACGCCTGAGATTCGGCCACCTTGGCGGGCCGATATGATTGCCAGACAGGAAAGACTCAAAAAGAGCTCTGGCATCAACATAATGAGAAACCTGGAGAGTTTCTAGCTGCATGCTGACTCGTTTCAGTGACTCTTTAGTGGAAATGCCCCCTATTTGCAGAAAAGCTCTCTGGTCCATGTTGCGAATCGTGAGTGATTTCACGCTTTTCGGCACGAAACTACAGGTCTCCTGATAGAATTCCGAAAGATGAGGATCTTTCAGTTCAAAGCCATATTGGAGCTCGGTAAGGTTGTCGGACATTCTCGAACAGAGAAGTGATAGAAACCCTTTGTGCGAGCCCTGGATGTGGCATTCTTCGGCGTTGAATTCGAGGTGTCGAATCGAACGTACGCATTTGATCAATTGCTTTGGCCGTTGCAGAAGGTTGCTGCCACGGTGAAGAAGGTAGCGGCAGCAGGAATTCTTTTCGATGATCTCTAGGTCTAATGACACGTCTTTCCATCTGCTCAACGTGTTGACGAAGGAGTCAATAATATCGACAAATGTAGCTTTAAATTCAGAGCGTCGTGAGGCGCCAACTATGTTGGGAAAATCGAGTGGGTCAAAGTCTACCACTAGACGCAGCTTCTTTAACTCTTGCTTGCGCGGGCCGGAAATGTACTTGTCGAGTGTTGAAGCAGTAGTTCTTCCGGATGAAATGCTGGCACTCGTTACGTAAAGTGTGACTTCTGCGAAGAGAATAGGCTCGATAATATCCTGCCAAACTCAACAAACAGTAGCATATTGTGCTAGAGAGTCTGGCTGTTGGGCAATGACATACCGAAAGATTTCAGCCTTGAGTTCGGCAGGAAGACTGTCCCTCATCGTAAGAGATGTGACCGGCGGTGTTTGGATAAGTGATAGCTGGGCTGTGAAAGTTCTTGTAACTTAATTTAGAGACAATGGCCGGGGTGAAAAAATCTTAAAAGCCTTTTATCCCGATTCTTGCCGACAGTCAAAGAGTTGCGCACCTGGACGAAAATGCTACTGCTACCTAAAACATAGATGGCTATCTCCACCCTAATGACAGGAACATTTACCACGCCATATAAAAGGACATAACACAATTTCTGCCACCGCTTAAGCCAAGCCACATCCAATCTGAGAGATTTGCTAATCGAAAAACTAAGGATTTGATCTATCTACGTTCACTAGGGAAGCTTTGACCCAGATTCATGAGAGAATCAGCGCCACTTTCTCTCGCATGACGTTGGATGGTGCGTAAGCTTATGGTTTTGAAGACATCGCTCTTAGTGAAGCGGGCTGCAAACAAAGGCTATGTCTTGATAAGATGATTCTGACTGCGGAAATGTCGACAGTCATGCCAGCCACGTTCACCTTGTCGATACTGAAGACGGAGAGGGGTTCGCACTAAAAGGACTGGAATTCGACGAAGAGCCTCTTTGAAGGGTGGCGGCGTACTTATAGCTGAGTAGTCTAGAGTTGCAAGCTTTTAGGCTCATGTCATTAACCCATCCCCGATGGTGTTCAGTTTTGCCAGGCCCTTGATGCCGTAAAGCGCAATGCCGCGCTACAACTGCCGACGTGTCTGCCCCCGAGAAGCCAGGGAAAAGCATCAAAGCAGGCAATCATGCCTAGGATCATTCAGCGTGAAACTTTGGTCCCCTGTGAAGCTGAACGTCGACTCCAGACTTATGAAAATACCCAGTGAGCTGAGTACCCGGGTGGTTCCATGCTTACTTCTGCTGAGAGTTGCCTCATCTCGATAACGAAAACGAGAACGAGGTCTGTGCAGCCCTCTTTGCGGCCCCATGCAAGGGACCCCACGATCAAGACGCTGTTGGCCCCTGGATCAACAAGCGGCCAGGATTCCCTACACTGCCGTCTTCAACACCAAATTGTGGACAGTTCGTTGCCAAATTTCGTAACGCTTCTGGCCAAGCATGCAAAATGACAATTTCCGTATCGCCGTTATCGTTCTCATTCTGTGCGCCCTGATGGTTTCCTTTGCCCCTTTCTGGCTAGTAATGTATTTTCTCTCCCAAAAGATAGAGCGGTCCAATTGGCTTCTCCAATGCTTGCGCAGTGCGAATATGTTGATTTTAGATCGTTCTCGCCTACTCGACCATCTGTTGAAACTATCAGTCTAACCTAATAGCCCTCGCAAGCTATCTATCACATTACAACCCACATAGTACGGTAAGGGGCAAATGCGAGCTTCAGTAGCATAGCCCATGAGAATCGAGCTGATGTACGTCTTCGAAATGGGGTAAATTCATTTCTTGGGCTGCATCCACCACAGGAAGCGCGTGGCGGAGCGGGAGAATCCAGCCAACTAGCCTCCTTCATTGAGGCTTTCCCCTCGCATTTGCAAGTAAATTTTGTACAAGTGCGTTCATCATCGGTCTGTCTGGTAGGGGATGTAGGTTTGCGAGATGAGTATTGCGGCAGATGCAACCCTTTTCGTACCATTAACTCGGTAGCTCGGAAGAACATTCGTGTTTCTGAGTTCAGCTAGGCTATGAGACATATTATCCGATAGGCCGTGATAATGCGGAGACTGATGGAGTAGTTCTCGATCATCTGCGGAGCCAGGCCCAAGAATGTTCGCATGCGAGGAATCGTTCTCGGGACACTAAGAAGCCGGCTGCAGCGGATCATGAAGCCACGAGGTGCAATGAACGTTGGCAGAAAATGGACATGGAATGAGAACGACTACCTGGGCGGCATTTGTATATAAGAATCAAAGAGATGTCTTCACCAACACTCCTGATAGTTCATCATTCTCATCGTCTCTAATCTGCATCTTCTAGTTATACTCAACCAATCTTGCTTTCGTCATGATGACCCTCCGCTCTTCCCCAGCCAAATTGGCGTTTGTTGCTCTTGTGAGCACTGCGACGGCTCAAGGTGCGGGGCAAACTAATTCGTCTGCCTGCGATACGCTACGGCAGACTCTTGTCGCCATAACCGCCTTGCCAGGCAGTGACAGCTACACGAACGCAACCCAAGGTCCGTCTTCCACCGTACATGCATCTTCGTCCTATCAGACGTGATTTTCAGCGTACCAATAAAACGAAAACAGACTACTTCAACGCCGCCGCTTGGTTGTCTCCTTCCTGTGTTATTGCCCCAACCACTAGTCAGGAGATGTCCAACATTTTGGGGACCTTCAACGACACCAACACCCAGTTTGCAATCAGAGGCGGCGGACACATGACCATTGCGAATGCCGCCAACATCAACGCGCCTGGTGTACTGGTCGCCACGTCTGGTCTGAGCAACTTGGTTCTTTCCGAGGACCAATCGACTATCGAAGTCGGTGCGGGAAATACGTGGTCGGACGTTTACCGCTTCCTGGAGCCCTACAAGCTCGCAGTGGTTGGTGGATGAGCTGGTGAGTTGATGTTCCTGACCATTTGAGTATGCTCGGGGGTGACTAACCTGGAAAGGTTTGGTTGGTGTGCCCGGATTCCTTCTTGGAGGGGGTATCTCGTTCTTCAGTAATGAATACGGATGGGCCTCTGCGAATGTTATCCAGTATGATGTCAGTCCAACTCCCCTACAGTTGTCGCTGGCAGCCTTCATGATTCATGGTCCGATGCTGGCTAAGCGACAGCCCCTTTTTAGACCTGTTTGTCTAACTAGCTCTCTGTAGTGCGTTCTAGGTAACGGCGACATTATATCTGCGCTCGCAACGAACGAGTACTCCGACCTCTTCTGGGCACTTCGCGGCGGCGGCAACTCCTTTGCCATTGTCACTGGGTTTCATCTTAAGACTCTGTCTCTCCCCGAGGTTGCGGTTGGCGAGAATCAGTACAGCTCGAACTCGAGCGCGCAGTTCCTCGACAGCAGCTATAGCTTCGCTCTAGACGGTTCGAGCGATACCCACGTTGGCATCGAGCCCAGAGTCCAGTGGATCCCGTCCTTGTACCCCGACCCAAGCTACTACTCCATTCTGTTCAACAACGGCAACACCACCACCCCGTCTGCCCTCATCAACTTCACTCAAACTATGGAACCTATCAGCTCTTCATTCACCGTAAGACCCTCCATGTACAACTGGACACAGTTCGCAGACTCTAGCCGGAGTCAGCTTGCTGGCTTGAGGAGTGCGTTCCACGTCGTCACCATCAAGGCTAACCGGCAAGCCCTTGACATTGTGCACGACGTGTTTCTGGGCATGATGAAGACTCAGATTTCGGGGGTAACCAACGTCATTGGCAGTCTTGCCTTTGTCCCTGTCACCGAGCACTTTTTGAGTGTGTCTACCGCTAATGGTGGCGACCCGATGGATGTGGATGCGACGCAGGGAACTTACATCTTGGTCGAAGAAACTGTTGTGTGGTCAGAGGCCTCGGACGATGCGAAGATTGACCAATTCCTCGCCGACTTCGACACCAATGTGACGTCGCAGATCAATGCCTTGGGCGATTTTATGTCTCCGTTTCTGCACCTGAACTATGCTGGTGCCGGCCAGCCAGTCTTCCAGGGATACGCTGGCGACAACCTCCAGAAGATGAAGGACATACGCGCTAAGTACGACCCAGACCTCATCTTCACCAACCTGATGCCCGGTGGTTGGAAGGTGGAGGCGGCCTAATGTTAGTACCCGAGTACTGCATGAAGGTAGTCACACAGCTACAGTCTTCGGAGGCCTCTGTATGGTTTCTACTTCGGCATATTTAGACAATTTCACTACCTCATTCTCGACAACTTGCCAGGCAAATTGCGTACTAAATATTCTGGGTACATCGACCGATATATCGGAAACACACGCGCTTGCTGTGGACTTAATCTTTCTCAGTTGAAAAAAATCAAAGATAGGGGTCCTACAGACCTGTTCAAGAACCTCCCAAGTGTCAAATGTCTCTTATTCTTCCAACGCATCAGCCTATCACTTGAACTATATTTCAAATATAAGCCATGGTTGAATCAATTGGTTGTTCGCAAGCTCAAAGCTTTGATTCATTTGAGTGATGAGCTATGGAAGATCAGGTTTGCAGACTTCAAACATTACGAAGAGCTCCCCACACTCATGAAGTTTTGCGATGTTCTGTTCGCCTTTGTCATATACAGCGTCCGGCGTAGGACGTGGGACCTTGGGACACAGGGCTTCGGTTGCGTGTTACTACTGCTACCACAATGGCAGGGGGTTGATAGTGTCGGCCGGCTTTGGCATGCTGACTCCCCAATGCTCAACGATGCAAGTGCCGTCCATCCTCCATAGATCCACCCACCCCAATGGCTCACTGCCGACTTGCTCGACGCGCTGAAAGATCCAAGCACGGTTATTGTCGATTCCCTTGTTGATGACGGTGAAGTTGACAGAGTCGGGATCAAAGTTGGCGAGGTAGTCGAGGACGTTCTGCCTGCCGGAAAGTAGGAAGGGGTCGTGTTGAATGTAGCCCTCATCATAATGTCTCGGGACACCCTCGGTGTATTGTTGGTCGACGATGATGGTCTGAACTGCCTGCTCGAAGATGGCTCTCTGCTCTTCGGCCGTTGCAGGCCGAGGAGGGCAGTACGATGCCGGCTTTGTTTGTTCCGCTTGTAGTGCATTTGCGAAAAAGGCAATTGTGGCGTAGAATGATCTCATGGTGTCTGGTGTAAATACTGGGACGGTTTAATTGGTTGTTAAGTAGCAAGACTTTGAATAAGTGTCACGGAAGTTGTTTCCAGGCAGACATACATCTCCTATTAAATACCTGTCAACGATGTACTGCCAGCTTCCGGAGTTCGTCCTCATCTTTCGTTGGAATGAGTCCTTGAAAGTTCGGAGCCATCCACCATCGAGGCGCAGCGTAACCTCATTGAAGGGCCCCAGTGAGAAATATGAGTCCGCCTTTACAAATACCGCCTCCTTGTCAATGAAGCATTCCGTAAGCAACTCATCTCTAGATCTCTGGGTTTAAATGACAACATGGCACGTGCGTACCGCGCGGTTGAAGCTTCTTCGAACCGCTTGCGGAGCCAGGTGGCCACGAGGTTGCGCGAGCGAATAATGTTGCTGGAATGCTCCGAATCCCGCGGTAGTCCGACTTGGCCATCTAGCCGGTTCCACTTCACAGTCGGAATCAAAAACGCGACTTGACTAAGAGGATATCTCTATCATGATATGAGATGCTGACCATGTCAAAATAATTGATAAATACCTTAGGGAAACCCGTCCTGGAGTTGGAGGTTGGCGGCGAATCAACTTCCTCATTGTTTTACTCCCTCAAACTTGAACTTTTAGACCGCAGTCGCTATGAAGATCAACATCGCCACCTTCGCCACGGCTTTCGCGGCTCTTACGGTCTCTGCGCAAGCGGCCTACTGCCCTCCTAGATCTGCGAGTCCAAGCGAGCAGCGACTTATCTTTGCCGAGTTTTACCAGAAACTCTATACCGACATGAACGCCACCCAAGCCCTCATCGACCACATGGCAGAGGATTACATCCAGCACAACCCGTATGCACTCTCGGGTCTCAACAATTCGATCGAAGCATTGTCATTTGTCACTCCGGAGACGGTAAAGTTCAACGTCACATTCAGTGGTATTGATGGGGACTTGGCTTTTGTATACTTGAGAATGGACATTGCTGCAGAGCCACGTCCGAGAGCGGTGGTTGATCTATTCCGGTTCAACGGGTCGTGCATTCAGGAGCATTGGGACGTTATGCAGGAGAGACCGGACAACGCCACAAACCCTCTGGATATGTGGTAGACAGCTGCCAGTATGGGCTCGTAGTTGCGACCCCATATGTAGTATATGCACCATTGTGTGCATCATAATAGTAACTGAACAGTCTTCAATTATCAACGTTCTGGGTATGAAATCTAACATTTGCGCTATATGCCTAGATATTGTGACAAATCTTTCATAGCTCGTCTTTGACATGTTTGCCTTCTCCATTCGCCACCACTGCAGGCTTTCCACATGAATATCCATTCTTCACGGACAGCGGTTTGTTAGGATAGACGCAAATAGGCGGTTCAGACTTCGTCTCGACCTTTTCCGTTCCGAGAGCGACTGCAGGCAGGCTTTCGGGGGCGGTCCCATCCTCAACCCATGATCTCAGAGTATCAAGTGCCTTCAGTGGGTACGGAACTCCAGAAGGTGCTACGCAGTGCGTGGCTCCGGGGACCTCGAAATAGCGGTAATAGTCTTGAGTCGAGACATTACGAGAGCTGTCGAGAGCCAGAACACGATCGTAGTATTGCCGCATAGCCTTGACAGGGACAGCCTCATCATTCACAGAATGCCAACTGATCATCTTCTTGCCCAGTTGACGGAACCGCTGAAGGTCGGGGTTGTTGCTGCTGAACATACGGTCCCATTCATTGACACTATCCCAGAAGATTTGAACGTACTCGGCATGCGTCATCTTCGTCGGGTCAAATGATGGGTCTTTCCTCACCATGAGTCGGATCCAGTCGTCGGCGATTGTGAAAGGCCGTCCACCGGAGCAAGTTTCTCCTTCACAGTGAGTGTTGGCGATCGACATCATACCGGTAACTGCGGTGCCAACTGTGACGCCCGGGAAGAGCTGGTTTCCTTCGAGGTCAACTGGGCCTTCAAGCAATGCCTTGTACACCTCCACAGCCGTGCTCGAAATGGTCGTTGACTTTCCTTCGCAGTCGACGGTAGTTCCGATCAAGGCTGCGACATCAAAATCGCAGGATTCAACATCTGCAGTTTTACCGCAAGGATCGGCCAACGCAGCCACAATCGCCTCAAACTCGCATGCCTTAGGGTAGATGCCTTTCTGGTTCATGATGAATTGCGGCCAGTACATCGCCACCAAAAGCGCCGAGAATCTGACTGCTGGACAGCTTGTTAGGAGGCCATCGTAGTCTTCGGGATATCTCTGAGCAATTGTCAGACCCTGCCTGCCACCAGTTGAGCAACCCTGCCAGTAAGAGAACTTGGGAAGTGACCCGTAGGCTTCACGGATGATGTGCTTGGATATGACGGTCATGTCGTGGAGAGCTCGGTGTCCAAAGTTGACGACCAAGGGATACTCCAAGTTTCCTGGGTTTTTCATGAGCCAGGTATCGGCAGTTGCAAACATGTTGTGGTTGTAGCCCGCGTTCGTGGTTGCGACTGCATACCCCTGTGACGCTAGGGCGGATCTGATGTCGGCACCCATCTCTCCAGCGGACCAACCGCCTCCTCCAACGCCAACGTAGCGTCCAATGTAGTTGGACGTTGGTAGCCAAAGCTGTACAGTGACATCGTCGTTGTGACCGGGATGCGTGTATGATATCGTCACATTACAAGCCTGCACACCATCCTCAGTGACCAGAGTAGCTTCCGGTAAGAATCCAGCCTGAGGTTTGAAGCCATTCAGGGTCGAAGTAGTGATCGACAATAGTTGAGCACCATGTAGGTTGGGGAAGGAGTAATTCTCCTTGGAGCAGGGTGTTGTCTTGCCGGCGGCAATCTGGGCGAACAGAAAGGATACACCAATCTGAAAGGACTTAACGCCGCGGCGTTTTGGCGCGGTGTGAGGGAACCGCATGTCGATCTTCTCAAGGTGCTGGCTGAGAGACACTTATAGACTCAGTGAGAACAAATTCGAAACCAATATTGTAAAAGAAAGTTTGGTTATAGAAAGTAACGAAAGCAGCTTGATGCTGTTGGATTTGATTCAATAATGATTCAGTTGGGCTTCCCGTTATTAGCCGAGGTCAAATCAAATAACTCAACAGACGCATCAACAGCGGTTTCCAGAGCCCCACGTTACAAGAACCCCTTGGACGTCGCTGTCCGCCAGGATCCCGACTTAAGCGGACTCCGCGAAAAGATGAAAGTCCGCGAGTGGGATCGCCATGGCCAATGCGCAGTCGGTAGCAGGTATAAACGACCGCCTTCCGCGCGATCCACGGCACGCGTACCCGTCTAATAGACGAACTATGTATTGTATTGGCTGCCAACTTTCTGGTACACTTTGGATCCAGTTCTACCCGTTGAGCGCAATTGTACGACTTTTTCAACCGTGTTTTATCCCCTTAGAGGTGCTGTAAAGTCATTTCGCGTCAAGCAGAGGGAACGCCAACGTTCCACACACGGACAAAGACGGGTGCGATTTGGTTCGTATTCGCAGGAATACGGACCTCTACATCAACCCGTAGAAATAACTCTACACATCAATGGCAGGCGTCTATTGATCCGCGACGGCCCTAGCCTAGTCCTGTACTCTAAATTCAGCCAGTCGTAGACTTTGGGAATTGCCGCTGTCTCAGTAGCGGGGTGCTGATCGACGCTTGAGCCGCCAAGTTTGGTGAACAGTCATTGCGGCGAAAGCTAGTTTAGGGCAAGAAGTTGACTGTGGTATCGGCCGATTGACGGAACTTCATTTTTTCAAATGACATGGCTCAGTAATGTGAAGATAAATACACGCTGATGTCCCAATTTCTCAATCGGTGTCATCGCATCAATCTGCAAAGTCCCAAGATCAAAGTGTCACACAACCGCTCACCATGAGAGTTAGCATCATCGGCGCGACGGGCGAGACCGGCCAGTCCATCATCGACGGCCTCCTGAAGTCGACCGAGCCCAAATATGTTGGTTATTCCTGCGAAAACTTCACAATTTACGCAACTAACTCATGGTCAGGATATCACGGCTCTCACTCGTCCTGCTTCAATGCAAAAGCCCGAGGTGCTGGACCTCCAGAAAAAAGGCATCCACATCGTCGCCGCTAATCTTGAGGGTCCTGAAGATGCACTCACGGAGATCCTCAAAGGCACAGATGTTATGATTTCTGCCATCAATGCTGGCAATCTGATGGCTCAGATTCCTCTGATTAATGCATCGAAAGCGGCTGGTGTCGGGCGATTTATTCCTTGCTTTTTCGCCACCATAGTCCCTCCCAAGGGCATCCTGAAGCTAAGAGACATCGTGGGTTCAACGCTCTGACTCGGCAACATAATAGATCAGTCTGGAGCTAACGTGAATGATAGAAAGAGGATGTTTTGAATCATGTCAAGAAAGTGCGCCTGCCATACACGGCAATCGACGTCGGTTGGTGGTACCAAATCACGCTGCCGCGTCTTGCATCCGGTCGTATCGATTACGCAACCACATTGGTAACTGATGGAATTGGGGGGGACGGAAACATGCTTTCAGCTATCACTGACGTGCGTGACATTGGGACATACGTGGCTCGGATCATTGCAGACCCCCGCACGTTGAATCACATGGTCTTTGCCTACAACGAGTTGATCACCCAGAACCAAGTGTATGACTTGTTGGAGAAGATGAGCGGGGAGAAGGTCAAGAGAAACCACGTAAGTTGTCTTCAATTGATAATTGCAGCATCGGGACTAAACGGTCAACAGATATCGGTTGAGGCAATCAAGGCCGGAGTCGCTCAGATGGAGGCTTCGAACCTGGGGCCGGAGTCACCAGAGTTCTACGAACTGATCCGCTTTCAGTACTGGCATTCTTGGGCTATCCGTGGAGACAACACCCCCGAGTATGCAAAGTATTTGGGTTACTTGAACACGAAGGATCTTTATCCAGATATTGGGTTCATTTCGTTTCAAGACTATGTGCAGGAGGTACTGGATGGAAAAGGCAAGAGTGTCTACGAAAAGTCGGAGGATTTGAAGCCACTCAAGGTCGAATGAGAGAAGGGATCATCTATGCATAGCAATGTCACTGATGGAGGTGCGCGGGCCTCTCATAGAAGGGTACATGACGGCTCATCACAACCAAAAATAACACCATGTGCATTCGTCTATCATAAGGCTCTCTTTTGGTTGACTAGGGAAATTTCCGAACTGATCCTACAAAGTTGGCCGCGCTAGATCTTTCATAGCGCCGTAGCCGGAAGGATGCGATCAGTCCTGTACCAGTTGGCCTCGGGATCGCCGAGGCATTCGCCAACAGGAACCCCCTTCAAGTTCTTCTCTTTCATAACTCGAAGAATCTCAGGAAGCAGAAACTCAGCGGTGTTTTGTTGAACCTTACAGCTTGTTAGATACGCAGTTTCTCAGCATTATCGGATTCCCGAGGTTGACTTACATCATGACACAAAGTAAGAGTACCGCCATTTTCCACGCCGTTCTCAAAGAGATCCAGGCCTGTAAGGTTCCCCAATGAGTTGTATTTCCAGTCGTTGGTGTCGATGTCAGCACGGATGACATGGTACTTGAGATCCTTCATGATGGACAGGGTCGCAGCGCTCCAGCTGAAGTAAGGCGGGCGCATATACGTCGGACAATTCCCCATAATGTCAAAGAAGGCATCCTCGAGTTTGGTCATCTGCTCAACCACGCCCTTGTCGTCAGTCGTGGCAAGGTCGGCGTGACTCCAAGTGTGATGGCCGACTTGGTGGCCCTCGTCGAGCATGCGCTTAATCCTAGCTCGGTTTTCATCGTTCCTGATATCGCCCAGGAGACTGCCCGTTACGAAGAAGGTAGCTTTGACTTGAGCCTCGGCAAGTAGGTCGAGAACGTGATCAGTGTACTTGAACGGGCCATCATCGAAGGTGAGGGCAAAGGTATTCTCGACGGTACAGCTGCTAATGACAGTGCCATACGGAACTTTGGTGGGCGGGGTCGTCGACGTAGTGTTGTTGTTGACGCTGGTGTCGTTGGCTCGGGGCTGCATGCGGAAGGGCCCAGCAGCTGCTCCCAGTACGAGGGAGAGGGTAATGACTGTGGTGTAATGCATTGTACTGTAATGACTGATGGGTAAAAAAAATGAGTGTGATGGAGAGCGAAGGCAATTCACAATTTCGAATACGGCGAAATGCGCAACTAGAAATATGAAGGCCCAGTACGGTATTGACTGTAGCTCAACGAATTGCCGTAGAATGCCATCCCTTCTTGCTGGACCACTCTTTCTTCTTGCTGGAGTTGTTGCAATACAGGCGAGTCAGCAATAATAATGTCAGAAAGCTTAAGCTATTTTTTTCAGCGTACCTCCTGCAACATTTTCAATGACTAGCGCTTGGCAGTGCCAGTGCCGCTGAGCTGTAGTTACCAAAAATAGGCTGTCAAGTGCTTTGCTAAGCTCTGAAATAGTGAGCGGCCACGGCAATGCCGGGCAGAAGTCGGTCCAACCCTCCTTGTACAGCTCACCTAACAGCAAAGAAGCACAGAAATGTAAATAGGCCGACTACTGGTTTTATCCTAGCTGCCATAGATGAAGAGAGGGAATCAAATAAGGCTTCTTTCAAAATCTCCTCAGCCGCGTCCCCGTCTAGCAATGAGGCAGGTAAGCAGATCAACCATAGCTCAAGAGACGCACGTCAAGCAAGCTACAACACTGCTCTTGACACGTTCCAGGCGACTCCTTTGAACACAGCCATGGCGATGATGGTCGTTCGGTTTCGGTATCACTGACAGATCCCTTGGCCAATTCCAATGCCGTCTTTGCTTGAAACCGGACTGCCCTGACCGCTCCACTCCCCGTCCGACAGTCAATTGCCCTAGACCGGATCCCGAGCTCGGTGTCCCCGCCCGCGGTCTTAAACCCCGACCGGATGTATTTCCAGGCTACCTCAATAACGGCATTGTCGGCCTTCTGGGCCGCCCTGGATGTCACGGCAACAACCTTACGACAGATCCCCTTCTCCAACGCGTACGATGAGCATTTCATTCACTTAGGACCGTATGATATGGGAAACAGTGCATTTTGACAAGTTCGGTCGCATGGTTTCTTAGTCCGTCTCAGTCGGGTCCACCAGAGTATGTGAGGGTGACGGTCAAATATCGTACGATAATTACCAGCAGGGCAACTTCTTGATCTGAATCCCTAGAGCTTAGGCAAGATCGTGATCAAGAAGAAGTTTGGCCTTCTCGTGTGCGGTAATAATAATCGTTCTGATGGCTTAAACGGATTGATTGGAATTTAAGGCAATTGCCTCTCGGCAACTAAGTGTGTCGGCATTAATTAGTGAAAGAACGCTCTAGATAGATGTGGGCTTTGAGTCTCTTCTCCTGCGTTCTTCACTTGAGTTCTTCAACCAAATCCATTATCTCGTCTTCGACCTTTTTTAGGGGATCGAATGTTACAGCCTCTATCCTCAACTCTTCCGCTCTCGTTTTGTACCTGTCAGTGACCAGGACTTCTGTCAGGGCCTTGCCAACAGCTTCGACTGTAACAGGAGAATCTTCCAGGAATACTCCCAGTCCAGACCACTCAATCCTCCTGCCAATGTCGGGTTTGTCAAACGTATTGCCAGCTTGCACCATCGGAACGCCGTTGGAAACCGCATGTTGAAAACCTCCATACCCGCTGTTCGAAACAAAGACGTCCGCGTGCGCTAAGATTGCATCATAGGGAAAATAGTCGACTACCCGAGAATTGCGAGGTAATACTTGATTCGACAAGCTGCTGGTGTCGAGCTTAGCTCCGGCAACACAAAGACAAGCAACAACCAATACGTCATCGCTTTCAGAGAGAGCCTTTATCGTGGGAAGAATAAGTTCTCCATGGTCCAGAACCTCGGTTCCTTGGGCCACGAACACAATCCGTTTTCTGTCTGACTTCAATCCATGCAAGGAAGCACTATTCGAAATGATGTCGTCAAACCAAGCTGGGTATGAGAGCGTTGCTGGCAGTGGCTTGATTGGCAGAGTTCCTGCGAACTTGATTCGATTCGGCCAGTCGGTCGATTGAAATTCAAGACTAGGTGAACACATCTGTAGTGTGACGTCGTGACAAATAGTTGACGCATCCCAAAAAGGGTGTTCGACGGTTGTTGAGATGTTGTCGTAGAGAGATTCAATGGGCTTAGAGCAGCCCATGATTCCCAGCACCCATTGTGCTCGCTCCTCCGCATCGGCGTTCCATGTCTTTCTCAAAATGTCGGTATTTCGTTTCTTTCCTGCTTCACTGTCGTCGAATGGCAGCCCAGTCCCCCACGGCGGTCGTTCAGCACTCGACCAAAATGTCGGCACCACGCCGACTCCTATTGTCTTGATCTTTTCGCCGTTGTTGAAGCCTTCCGGTAAGTCAGTCCCCAACTTCAGGCCCAATGTGCCAGAAAAGCAGGTGTCCGAAAGAACAATGATTTCGCAATCCGGTTGACGTCTGCGCATACCGGCAAGCGCGAATCGAACTGACTCAAGGCCACTGGGCAGTAGTGAAACAAAACCTCCATCAAGTGATGCGGCAAGACGGGCCGCAGAGTCTGATGCGTGCGCAATCTTTGGCCAACGATCTGGATCGTCCAACGTGCCCCAGAGTCCGATGATAGGACTGAAGTGTCCGCCTGTTGCTTCGATAGCCGACTTCCATCTCTGAGTTCCCAAAATCGTCACGTCGAATCCATTAGTGATTAGGTGTTTGACGATTTGAAGTGCCGGCCGCATGTGGCCCTCCCTAGGAGGTACGGCGTAAAGGACGCAGGGTTTGGTCCTGGTAGCCACCTTCATGCTGAAGTTTGAGTTTTTCTGCGAGGTGTAGCCCAGAGTTTGGTTGTCAAAGAGAGAAATGTTCGCCTGAAAGCATGTCATAGATGTCGAGGTGTTCGGATGAGCCCGGAGACAAGCTTTTGTGTTCTTCGTTCGGCCATATCAGTGCCAGGGGACCCTGAGCTCGCTAAAATTGACACCAAGATAAGAGAGGCAGGAACAAAAGACAGATTTGAGAGTGGCTACCCTCGCGAGTCAGGGAGGCGACCGTCTATCAAGCTCAAATATCATGAAAATTGGCTGATTTTTGAAGCTTCAAAGCTTCACAAACAATACTGACGACAGGACTTGCATCGCATGTTTATATTCCGAGGATTTGATGCGATTCGATCAATGACCAGTCTCTCAGTTCAATTGCGCGAAGCCCTTTGGGATGATGTCTTTCTTTTCAGGGGCTATCCCTGCCAAAACGATAGATCGCTGTTCAGACCAATCTACTGGAATCTGGAGTTCCGGGGTTAACATTGTGTTTGACTCGTGGATCGCGATAAAGAACAATGGCCACCTATCTATGACGAGACACAAATACGGCGAAGATTATGCGAATGAGGAAACACATGTATGCGGAGTAAATCGCCACTTCAGTACAATTGTTTTTGTACCCTTGACAACTGCAAACTGAATTACCCCCAGAGGCGCCGATCAATACACATGCTCCAGACCTTAGAATCATCCCCAATAATGCTTGTCATAATCTCCTTCGGGCTTCCAAAGAGGAGCCGGGGTGTACACGGGGATCGGTACATCAGCTACAAGGTGAAGGATATCAGCAGGCATATCACGCACGAGATGGATGAAAAGCTTCACTTACTCCCATATCCCGTGCTTGCCGCTGCCCACGTTGGCGACGGAGGAATTGCCCAACCAGTGGGCGTCGTCGAGATTGTGTAGGTGCTGGTGTACGCCGTTGGAAACTGTTTTGACGTGAGTGACTTTATGCCGTCTCCTACCCCGTACGAGTTGTCGCTGTTGCCAAAGATGTTGCTGATCTTGTTCACAACATATGTGCCAGACTCCGTCCAGAGGCTGAACCCTTCGACAGTTACGTTTGTGGCGTACGTTAAGTCGTTGGCGATCAAGTACAAGGGAGGGCGTTTGGCGCCATCAGCAACGGATCCTGAGAGCGGTGTTGTTAGACCTACCGGAGTAGTTGATTCATGCGGGAGACTCACCAGAAAAGTTCTTGAAAATCAAGTTGCTAAGCGCAACCGCTCCAGTGTCCGGCTCAAAAGTGTTTTGCCAGTACTGATTGATGTCGAGTCCGTACAAGGATGCCTTGGAACGGAAGTTCTCAAAGGTAATGTTCGTAACATAACCCGACCCTCCAGGATAAGTCTTGATGAAAGCAATGTTGTTGCCTTGGATGATGCTTATGTTGCGAGCATGCTACAGCCTGTTAGCTACAAGAAGCACGCAGACAGTAAAGCGCTTACAATATTGGCGATAGATGCCGACACATTCAGACTACCGATCGAGATTCCAGATCCGGCTTGATTGCATACAAGATTTTTCGACAAGGGCATGATTCGAAGGGCTTTTGACCGACACACATTCGTCTCTGTTGGTACCCTGAAAAGATGAGTGAGATCAAGGAACTTTAATCATGATCGAGTGGACAGACCTCAATATCGTGGATCCAGTAGTTTGTTCCCACAACATCAACCCCGTCGTAGGAACCAAGGTTCGCTCCTCGAATTGTCAAGTGATAGGCTTCAAGGTTGACAGCAAAGTCGAAGACAATGTGAAATTTGGGACTGTCCACGAGGATAAGATCATGGACTGATGTGTTAATAGGGGAAATCAAGCGGACGAGTCGAGGACGGAACGTGCTGGAAGAGCGCTGTCAGCTTCGAACTCATGCATCGGGTAAATTGGTAAATGGCGTACTTCCCCGAGTTCCTGTATAGGTACCCTTGACCCTGAATTGCACCTTTTCCGTTTTGTGAGTAAAACTCAAAGTCGACGGCTGTTTCCGAAGTCAGTCTTACTTCGATGCAATGTGACTAATAGATGTACCGTTTATAATTGTGATTCCATTCTGCAAGAAAAGGCCGTCACCTTCGCCGTTGATTGTCGCGTTCAGCTGCTCAACCCCTGCGAACCCCTGTAGGATCAACTCATGATCGACAGTCCAATTGCCACCATAAGCGAGTGTGATCAATCCGTCGAGCTGGAAAGCCCAATTGGTACCATTGGACAGGATAGCTGTTCGCTTGATAAGATAGTTGCCCTCTGGGACAATGAGACGGCTGCCAGCGTGAACGAGAACGCAGCTCTTGTAGGCATTCTCAATTGCATCTGCCACATCTGTGGAGTTGTCGCTGATACCTCCGTAATTCAGGATGTTGCATTCTGTTGTTTTCTTACTCAGGGCTGTTGTAGGACCCACGGGGCCTGTGAGCTGAGCAGCGACTCCTGAAAGAGAGAGAACCGCGGCAAGAAGGGCAGACTTCATCGTGGGATACAAGTTAGCAGCAAAAGATTGGCGCCTCGTCGAGGATAAAACCACAGTTGAAGCAAGATATACCAAGCTTTAAACACATTTCTCTTGCACAGTGAGGCCAGAATGCCGTCACACTGATCACGACATTGAGGAACCCGAAATCAACGACCCATATCGGATAGCATTGCCGCATGCCGTGCTTCCGTAGGATTTTTCGGTCAGCAAGTATTCAGAAACGGCTGCCTGAAGTGGATTTGGCTGTCGGCTATGCTCTTTGAGTAAGACGGGCGAAATATTTGCAAGATACTTGAGCGGTGCTAACACTCAAATCAACCTCTCCTACTTTTTCGACTCACCGTGAGCTAAGGTGACCGCAGACATGCGCCATTATGATAATTGATGAGTTGAAAAGCAAATGCAAGGTTGAACTCGAGTATTCCGGCGAGCTATAATTGCGTGATGGTCAGATCCGACGCGATGGATCACAAGAAGATATCTAGTGCCTGCTCATACCCCGGCAAGCACGTTCCATGTCACTGGCTCTTTTGCACCTTTGAGATGATGTGATGCACTAGTTTCTCGACATGTCTATATCCACTGGCATATGTGGATAACTTCCGCCAGGGCGAAATAGCATGCAGAAGCTCCACGGTTCCGACTACCGAGCTTGGCCATGGGAAAGGTGACTTCGAACACTAGATGTAAGCATTTGCCAGAAGAGGTATAAGGAGGATTTGCGATGCGAGAACACCGGAAGTTCGGCATCTTGCACACGGAAAATGATATTGCATCAATCAGAGTCAAGAATACTGTCCCAGCTAGCAATGGCGCAATGATTGTGTCTGCCGCGCAATGAATTCTATGGAGCCCTTGATTCAGCTTCTCTACAAAAGGCGAATCGCACTGAATGTTACGAAACTGCGATCACACCTCCCACAACTACAGCAGGAATAACACATTCAGTGATGGCCCCGAGAAACGTGCTCCTGCTCGTGGCAGACGACTTGGGAAAGCAGCTTGGCTGCTACGGAAACCCCTACATCAAAACTCCAAACATCGACAAGCTTGCTGCTGAAGGTACACGGTTCGACAAAGCTTTTGCAAGCACTGCTTCTTGCTCCGGCTCAAGATCGACCCTCTACACAGGCCTCCACACCCACCAGAATGGCCAGTACGGACTCAACAGCGGCAAACACCATTTCATGACATTCGATCACATTGAGTCTGGACCGGCCTTGTTATCCAAGGCTGGCGTTCGTACCGGGATTATCGGGAAGATCCACGTCGGCCCAGACAATGTTTATCCCTGGGAATGGAGGGCCGAGAGCCTGACCAGGGATGTGTGGTGGTCTTCTCAACGCGCGGCCGAGTTCTTCAAGGTCTCCAAAGAGGATGGGCGGCCGTTTGTACTGACCGTTGGGTATCACGACCCCCATCGCGATCGCACCCGCGGCGGCTTTGGCAATGATGAGCCGGTCGACGAGCGGATAAACAGCGTGAAGTATCATGCCAGCGACATGGTTGTCCCAGGCTTCCTCTCAGAGACACCCGGTGTTCGACATGAGCTTGCAGGCTATGCTGAGGCCATTAGCCGTCTGGATCAGGGCATCGGCATGATCCTTCATGAGCTTGAAGCATCTGGCTTCGCCGATGACACTCTAGTCATTTTCATCAGCGACAATGGCCCTCCTTTCTTGAACTCCAAGACGACTCTTTACGATGCAGGGGTCTGCCTCCCTCTCATCATCAAGCAGCCTAGATCTTCACCGGCTGTAAATCGCAACCTGGTGTCTTACATCGATGTTTTACCCACCATCTTGGATTGGGTTCTGGATCAAAACTCGGAAGTACCCAAGGCGGGACTCGCGGGTCGGTCGTTCCTCGACATAATCAGTGAAGGTCAGGAGCTTCCTGAATGGGATCACGTATTTGGCTCCCACACCTTTCATGAGTCGACGAATTACTGGCCCACGAGGTACATCCGAACGAGACGATACAAGTATCATCGCAATATTGCATGGAGACTTGACTTTCCTTTTGCCAATGATATCTACGGCTCACTCACATGGGAAGACATCCGCAATGCCGAAGAGAGTCCGAAGAAGGTTGGGCAAAGACTGCTGAAAGACTACTTCTTCCGTCCTGCGGAGGAATTGTACGATCTCACAGTGGATCCTAATGAGGTGAAGAATCTAGCCAAGGATACTGATCATCAGCATGTACTCGATGAGCTGAGGACCAGGCTGGAAGATTGGCAGAGAAGAACGAACGACCCTTGGCTGTACCGCGACGGGATCTCGATCCTTCTGAACAAGCATCATATTGATGCCGGGCTCTCAGTTCCCGATAAGTGGGATCTTGACATTGAAAGTCCTGAGACAAATAAGAAAGGTATCAAATTGTATGATAACTTGCCTTTCGGGGTGTCTGGTGTCAGATCGTAGAAATGCGACGCGATTGCACGCTTTGAAACTAGGATAAAGAGCTTAGACAAGGAAGAAACGCCTCACGATATTTGCGATGAGAGTATTTACCGGGCGACGACTGCGCCAATTGTGCCTGATATTGTGCGTCGGTTCGCCCATGTGCCAGGCCTACGATTACGCTCATCACGAAGATTTCGGGGATGTCGGACCATTGATGGAGAATCGCGCCCAGCTTTGAAGAAGGAAGTGACAGGACGTATTTGGATCCCACATCCCCTCCATGTCACACGCCAAGGCGAAATGAGGGTGGTATCCCGTTCTTGTCAAGCACCATCCCACATGGGGAATTGTCCGTCGTTCTGTGAGAGGTAGACCCCTCGCTCCTCATCTGTCTCCATAATGTCGTGATGGCCTCTCGGCTGACGAACGCCGAGAACCAACCAAAAGCTTATCTTGGCTTTCAACCTTTTCCGGGGTCATTGAAGACTTTGACAGGAGGTGTCTCTGGAAACAAGCAACGGGTGGAAGACAGCTGCACGTCGAACTCAATGGCGATGATGTGCGCGTTTGACTCGGTGTTTTGTCGACCGATTCCAATTATTAGAGGCCAATGCTTCATATATAGATGACTTCACAACCAATGGTTTAGTCGAATGCAAAGGCCTATTCCGACCATGGCTGTATCCTTCAAGTGATCGCTCATCATCTTTTGCTTTCAACGCGCGCTCCCCGAAGTACCAAACATGAGTGCAAATGCGCCCTCCGCCATCGACGTTGCTGATGGAACAAGGACCCCTCGCAGCCACGACATCGACGCCAAAACGCCTTCATTCGACGTCGACGCTCCGAAGGAAGACATTAGTGATCTCGCTGAGCCACAGGACACCACCAAATCAGTTGTTTTCTGGGAAGCACTCACCCGCCGTAACACCCCCAGAGACCTCGACTCCATTGCGACAGAACGTAGTGTTTTCGATGATCCCAACTTAGCGCCTTTTTATCAACCTCCAGCTGAGTACGAAAATGTTCATCGCTTCGATCCTCAGGAACGATGGACCTACCGCGAAGAGCAGCGTGTGCGTCGCAAGACCGACCTTAGGATCTTCGCCTGGATTCTCGTCATGTTCTTCGGTTTGAACATTGACAGAGGCAACCTGGGCAACGCCGCAGCCGACAACCTTCTCAAAGATCTCAACATCAACACAAATGATTATAACAATGCTCAGAACATGTATCGCATCGGCTTTCTCATAGCTGAAATTCCATCACAGATGATTGGGAAGCGTCTTGGTCCTGATCGATGGATCCCTGTCCAAATCATCCTGTGGAGTTTCGCTTCGGGTGGACAGTTCTTTATGCACAACAGGGCCGGCTTTTTTGCCTGTCGGTTTCTTGTAAGTTTTGTAATACAACAGGATGCAAGCGTTTCTGAGCTAATCAAAGCGTGAACTTCAAGATCGGGCTCTTCATGGGTGGCTTCATTCCGGACAGCATTCTGTACTTGTCTTATTTCTATAAGAAGACCGAGATGCCAATCCGTCTCGCCCTGTTTTGGTTCGTCGACTCTATCTCAGGCGTTATCGCATCATTTATGGCGTATGGCATTCTGCATATGCGCGGAGTGGCCGGCAAGGAAGGCTGGAGATGGCTCTTCCTGATCGAGGCCTTAGTCAGTTTCGTTATCGGCGCTCTCAGCTTCCTGTTTCTCGTCCCAGGTCCAACGCAGACGAAGACATGGTGGAACCCCAAAGGCTACTTCACGGAGCGCGAGGAGAAGATCATTGTGAATCGCGTTCTTCGGGACGATCCGTCGAAGAGCGACATGCACAACCGCGAATCTCTAACCCTCGGCATGCTCTGGAAAAGTCTGAAAGACTACGACCTATGGCCCATCTATCTCATTGGAATTCTTTTCGAAATTCCAACAGCGCCGCCGAAGACATACCTCACATTGTCTCTGAAGGCCTTGGGTTTCAGCACTTTCAACGTCACGCTCCTCGCCATCCCGGTCACGGTATTTGCAGCAGTTAACATGCTGTGGGTCACATTTCTCACCGAGAGGTTCCATCAAATCGCCATCATCGGCCTTCTGTCACAGGTCTGGGTGCTGCCTCTTCTCATTGTCGAGTATACCTCCATCGAAAGCCTGTCCCCATGGGCACAATATGCTGTCACATTCATGATTCTCGGTCAGCCATCAACGCATGCGGCTCACGTCGGCTGGTGCTCTCGACTTTCGAACTCTGTACGAACTAGAGCAATCAGCGCCGCGTTGTACAACATAACGATCCAATTGTCTGGTATCGCGTCTTCCAACATCTATCGCGAAGATGACAAGCCTCACTATCACCGTGGAAACAAGAACCTCATCGCCATCACCGTCGCTACAATCTTTGCTTACGCTTTTGCCAAGGTGTATTATACTCTTCGGAACAAATCTAAGCGGGATCGATGGAACGCTATGTCTGACCAGGAACAAGCAGCATACCTAAACCGTACCACAGATGAGGGCAACAAGCGGCTGGACTTCTTCTTTGACAGTTAATCGCCGTACTCATCATCCAATTGTTGGCTTTCTCTGGATGTCTGTATTATTCCAACTCAATGACACGAAACCCTCACTCGAGACAGAAGCTGGTAATTAAAGTCAAGGCGATCTCGTCTTTCAAGTTTTTTGCTTTGTCCAAGTACCTACGGCCAAGTCTTAGCAGACGTCATCATTGAACACCATGAAATTGCTAGCTACCGCGCCTTAAGTATTTGCTTCTTCCCCGATTTCTACATTTTTATCAGTGAAACGTCATTGTCTCCGCAACGTATTGCTTCCCTGCTCCGGAATTGTTCTTCTGGGTTCCGTTGCCAGTGTTGTTGAACTGCCGGGCGACTCCCCCACTTGAAGACGAAGAATCCAAATCCCGCGGCTTATCTTCCTGGATATAACGCTCCAGCAAAGCCTTTGTCACAGAAGCTGCAGCAATTGCAGCATACGGTTGCCATTTCTTGTTCTTATGGCTATCCGCGTAGTCACAGACACCTTTCACGATAATGCATGGGATCTGATCCCACATTCCAGCACCCTCCATCTCAAAAGCGATGATGCCATGCTCTTGAGCTAGTTTATCGCGGCGGTCGCCAGATTTCATGACCGTGTCACCAGATGCCACATTCCCAATGAAGATTTGCGGAGACTGGGTCTCACTGTCGGCAAGACGATCCCTAGGCACAAGATGCCCCTGATCGCACCCAAGCTCCCGGCAAGATGTGCGAGCAGCCGCGTCACAACCACCGCTGTTGCTGCACCCACACCCGTTTGCTCCCAATTCTGATGAAGGTGAAGATATGCCGACTTGAACAGAGTGTCTTCAGATGGTGGTGGACGTCCGTAGCGGGTTCGGCGACGTTCTTTAACCGCCTTTCGTTGGATCTTCTCTAGAACGTCTGCGCACCCACGCTCAAGTCGGCCACGTCCAAAGTCAGACTCATATACAGCGAGCAAAGAGCGAATGTCGAGATTCGATCGGCCCAAATTGTCGTGAATCGTATCCTTGCGAGAGAATTTATCGGGGTATTGGCGGCCCAGGTCAAACTGAATGACGCTCTTGCTGATGACGACGTCTCCGAGTATCATCTCATCGACCTCATCGCCTGATCCAGGCACGCCTCCACAGACACCGGCGAGAATAGCAAGCTTCAGGCCAGTGTAGCTCGAACGAAGAGCTGCTGCTGCACCTGAAGAGCTTGTTTTGCCCATGTTTGGGAGCAATGCGAGCACAACGTTGTGGCGGCCTATTCGTCCAGTCGTGTAGTTGTTGGGGTCATTTTGCGCCCTCCCAAATCTATCGCCATTCTCATCCCAAAGTTCGTCGAATGCTAAAGTAGCCGCGTCATATTCGAGAGACAATGCGCACACCAAAGCGATTTTGAAGTCTTCTCGGCATTGGGGCTGAGCTAGGTCACCCATAATCGTGGTGGCGGTGGAGTAGCGGAAGGTAGATAGGGGTGAGAAAGCATACCTGTTTATTCTCGCAGTCCTGCAGATGCATCATTCTAATCTCTGAGCTACGAGGAGAAGAAATTGAGGGCGCCGGTTGCTGCATAAAATGCCTCACCACAGCTGAACACTGGGCTGCTGTCGGATTTCTTCAGGCATCTGTTTGCCTTGTCAGTGCCAAGTTGGAGCAGGCGGTAGCGTGGCGCAGCCCGATTCTTACCGACTTCAAGTGGAAAAAGTGCTAGAACAAATTGAAGATCTGATGGATATGGCCACTGAGAGTGGCCAGAAACTCGGGGCAACATTCCCGAAGCGTTTCATTGATTACATGCATCATCTTTTTGCCATCCACCATCTACGCGCAACAGGGCGAACCGCTCAACAATGGGCGATAATAGTCGCCGGGTGTGTCGGATTCGCCCCCATGGTTTCCCCTCTCAATGCTCGCTGACAACATAAGACCTCATAATGAAGGATATGGACGTGCCATTACCTTGCCTCGTTCCCACAGCCCCTCATCTTGGTTTTTGGCGAAACTTTACTCTTCTGCGCGATCCTTTGGCATCAACGTACGGCGGCGATGACAAGCGATCATGTCGCCTGGCAATTTCGATGAGGAGATGGCTCCAAATCGAGGAGTGCACATCAACGTCGGCTCTGGAAATCAAAACAACAATTGCGGATCGGGCAAACAATTCGTGGTTGGGGTCATGAACATGTGTAAGTTCACCAAAGGCAAGGATTGTTTTCCGCTTATTGATCCTATTATACAGCCTCCGAACAACGCGACAGCCTTCTCTGCGACTTGTCAACCACCGATCCCGGCGACGATAAGAAACGTATCGTGAGAACAAAGGGCGGTCTGATTCCGGGTCTGAATAACTGGTTTTTCGACCACGAAGAATATAACAGATGGCATCGGAAGCCTGAGAAAAGACTGCTCTGGATAACAGGCAGCCCTGGCAAGGGTAAAACCATGCTCATATGTGACGTCATCGAAGAGCTCGAGAAGCAGAATTACGAACCTGTGTACTTCTTCTGTGAGGCTGGCGATACTCGACTGAACACGGCAAATGCTGTGCTCCGAGGGCTTCTGTACTCATTCTTATCTAGAAACCCTTCTTGCATAAGTCAGATTCAGGAAAAGTATGAAAGAAGAGGAAAGGTTGTCTTTGAGGACACCAACAGCTGGGATGTACTAACGGGAATGATCAAGGACATAATATCCAGCGGAGCAATGTCCAAGGCAGTAATTGTCATTGATGCGCTCGATGAGTGTGTGGAAGAGCTGGGCAAGCTTCTAGATCTTCTGATTGATATTTCTGCGACTTGCAAAGCTATTGTTTCTAGCCGCAGCTGTCTACACATCAAAGATAGTCTTGCGACAGCTTGCGACAAGATTACAATCTCGTTGGAGAACAACGAACCAGCTGTCTCTGGCGCAGTGCGCAGCTTCATAGATCGAAAGGTCAGCGAATTGGCAGCTTCGAAGGGATACGACGACACGAAACACGCCGAGATCTTTACTTACTTGAATGCCAACGCGAACAACACATTTCTTTGGGTATCTCTAGTATGTCAACAGCTCAAGAACTCAGTTCCATTCAGACACACGATAGCATCATTGAAGGAGTTCCATTCGGGGTTGGACTCTATCTACGACCGGATGTGTTCTCGAGTCATTCAGCTATCAGGCGAGAGTTTGTGCGCCAAGCTACTGGCTACGATTTGTATCCTCAGGGAGCGGTTCAGTTTGGAAGCAATGGTAATTCTTCTTGAGAAAGATGAGAACTCTCTGGAAGAAGCCGTTGATGATTGCTGCGGCCTTCTTGTTCAAGAGAACCGTGTCATTTCTTTCGTTCACCAATCAGCCCAGGACTTTTGGAAAGAAAGAGCCCAGAAAGCTATGCTTTGGTCCGCCTGTTATGAGCACGGATCAGTATTGTCGGCCCTTGTGAAAATCATGTCAGACGCACTACGACGGGATATGTACGGTCTTGAACATTCCGGTGCCGCCATATCCAGAGCTGACAGCTCTACGAAGGACCCGCTGGCAACTGCCCGATACGCCTGCCTCTTCTGGACGGAGCATTTCATCGAAGCCGGCGTCATGGACAATCTGCAACAGCATATTGTTGGCAACTTTCTGAAGAAACACGTTCTGCATTGGATCGAGGCTTTGTGTTATCTTCGAGGCATATCCAAAGGTATACAAGGCCTGGTCAAGATTTTGAAAGCATTTCGGGTGAGTTTTCTACCTTGATCAACTTCACTCAGCTAATTCTTCAAGCCAACGAACAAGTCTGACCCGGCAGACCCACATGACGTTTTCAGTCTTGTGTATGATGCGTATCGAGTTATGCTTTACTTTCGATCGGGAATTGAGAATAACCCTCTCCAACTGTATCATTCCGCTTTGTTGTTCAGTCCGAAGCGAAGCATTATAGGCAACTTGTTTCGAGACAAGGAGCTGCGTGGGGCTGAGATCCTGACAGCACGTCAAGGTGATTGGTGTGAATGTCTGCAATCTCTCGAAATCAACGGCACGATTGTTTCGCCAGTTACGTTCTCCCACGATGGAACAATGGTTGCCCCTTCGTATGATTCGAAGATGATCCAGCTCTGGGATAGCGGCACAGGAGAAAAGATTCGAAGAATTGAAGGTCATTCGAGCAAAGTGTGCTCTGTGGCGTTCACGGCAGATGGGACCACAGTCATTTCAGGGTCACAAGACGGCAAGATAAGGCTATGGGATGTATTGACAGGAAAATCCAAAGGCAAACGCACAGGTCATACTACAGCGGTCGCTGTCATCTGTGTGGCCAACAGGGGGACCTCGTTCATCTCAGGCTCCTTGGGCAAATCTGTAAAGGTTTGGGATTTGAAGAGAGAAACTTATCGCAAAGATATCTCAGACGTGGATAGTCATATTCGCACGCTATCTCATGACGGAGAGTTTCTTGCTGCAGCATCGACGAGGGGCGAGATACGTCTTTGGAATACGAAGAGCCTTGCCCGTGAGAAGGCACTATCTGGGCACTCGGGAAGGATGAAAGCACTGGCTTTTTCCGGCGACGATAGAAGCCTTGCCTCCGCTTCTAGAGATGACACGATCAAGATATGGGATCTCAAGACAGAAACGTGCCGTGTCTCGATCAAAAGCGGAAAGGTTTCCTCGATAGTCTTCTCGGCCGACAGCACTCAGCTTCTATCGAATCGGGCTGCTAGTGAGGTGTGGTTTTGGAACGTATCCACAGGCCAAAATGTTCGAATCATCAGAAGCTATGCCGGCTCATTTCAGTCGCTTTCCTTAAGAGGGGATGGTGGAATGCTCGTCTCTGCAGCTGGTGATAGAACTGCCAAGTTGTGGGAGCTCGATCGTGATAATTGGTGTCAATATGTGAACCAGTCGACATCAACATCCGATACGAGTGAAACAACGGGCAAGCTTGGAAGGCAGACCGGGCTTTTCAGTTCAAACGCCCTACAAAAGCTTTTTCGTAAGTGAAGCCATCATCCGTCATCTTTCGGCAAAGCTAATAACGGATAGCATCGGTGAATAAGTGGACACAGCCATTACCCCGCTTCCTTGATTACTCTTTCAAGCAAGTCAGTTCATTGATGTTCTCGTCCGATGGAAATTGTATTGCTATAGCTGACGGAGCAACTGTCCATCTCTGCAACGCCAAAACTGGCCAAAGTGTACGAGTGTTCAAGCCTTTTCCGGGACTCGAAGCTCACTCACTGTTCACGGTGGGGTTTCGCGGGAGAGACCTGCTTCTTGCAGCATACTGCAATTCAGAAATCTCCATCTGGAACGTCTCGAAAGGAACACATCTAAGACGCTTTCGGGATCACAAAGACGTATCGATGTTGGCCTTTTCACGCAATGGGGCTAAGCTTGCGTCTTCGCACGGAAGGAAGATCAGAATATGGAACACTTTCACAGGCGAGAAGGAGAGGGAGTTGAAGATTGAAAGTCCCCCCAAAGGTTACATTCGATTTACTGAGACAGGTTCACATCTTCACGGTGATGACGAATCTTTCAGTCTGGCAACGGGAGCAGTCAGAGGACCTAGAAACCCTAAAGCTCTGCAAGCCGCAACCACTGAGACCCACCCTTTCCGAGTCAGAGCAGATGACGGTTGGATTGCGAAACAGCACAGGCTATTTCTGTGGCTACCTCCAGAGTATCGATCACCTATCTGGGACACCTTTGGATCTGCCATCGCTCTGGGATGTGGCTCTCGGCTCATTTTCATTCAGTTTTCATAGTACGGATATTTCATGTTCGCCAAATAAAACTAGTATCCGGTGCGCGAAATACGTCAGATGACGTCCAACAAGCAGGAGGAAAACCGGGGGTTATCTACACGTGTTTGGCTACGTTGATATCGACGCTTGTTGCAATTTATGCTGAGAGGAAGCCGTTACCTAAAGTGAAGAACCCATACATACGATTGCGATCCACATTTATCGATCCTGCGAGTTGACTGAGACTCGCCTTTTTCTTGAAGGTGCTATTGAACCACATCTAGGATGATTACCTTACTATCGAAGAACCTTATCCTTATTCAACTCGAAAGTCTCCGGCAAAAAGACTTCAGACCGTTGCACCACCGAGTCGATGGGCAGGAAAGCACGACAGGCTTTGTGTGCTTCTGGTCTTTGAGGAGGGTGTTTTCATCAACGTGTACATTGCTTGGGCTTGAGACCTGTGGAGCACAAGCAATGAATCATCAGATAATGGCATTCATAGG